AGAGTATATGTATTAAAAGATATTACAAATTAATTAATAATCATAGCTTCATAAATTAATTTAATTAATAACATAGATTTGTATTTAATTACATAAAATTAAAAAAAAACATAATCAGGTACTCAAATGTTGATATCTGAACTCGATACGAGTAGTAAAATTACTATCCAAACCTCATTATAAGGTACCTTAATTTTATATAATCGGATCGGATATCTATGGAAACCCTGTAATAAGGCAACCATTGCCATCTCTACCATCAGGTTGTAATATGATCTTAGGGGGAACATGATTGGACTTTAATGATTTTTATTGTAAAAAAAAATTGTAATTAATTAATATAAATTATAAAAATAAATATAGTAGATATTCAAAATTAAAAAAATAATATAATTTGAAGATGTTAAAAAAAAGTATATACAAAGTAAATAGGACAATAAGAGTAATATATATATATAATATTATATTAGTAATTTAAAATTACATACTCAATTGATTTGATTATTATGTACAATGATTGTATCACCACCATATTCTTGAAAATAATATGTAGCAAGCAATAATAAATAAGGGACTCGAAATTAAAAAAGGACAACGTTACCATCTCATGTGATGTTCGAAAGAAAGCACCTATTCCATGGACTGTTGTAAGTCCAATGATATGATCCCCTAATGGTTTCCCATAAAGAAAAATCTAAATTATATGATCAGGAGTGGAGCTAGTCAACATTTGTTGAAGAGATCAAAGATGAATATGAATAAGGGATAAAAATTTTTAAAATTAATATGTTGAATTGAACCAATAATAAAAAAAATTATAATATATGATAATTTTATATAATATATAATCAAAAGAAATAAGAAAAGAAATACTTATTGTAATCTTTTAAGAAAGTTATGCTTAAAGATGCTTTTTATATTCAAATTTATCAATGATTGATTTTATATTGACAAAACCAGCAATATTTTTCTTAACATAAACAATTAAATTATTTACAAAAAACTCATCATCTATTTTGTTTCGAAATTTTGTTTTCACAATTTTTATTATTAAAAAGGCTCTTTTCGTAGTTGCCATAGAAATTGAAAAAGTAAAAACAATGAGTGGTAATTTCTTGACTTGCTTATTTCTATTAATCTTTGACACAATTGAGAAAGTGTCATTTTCAAAACCTTTGTGATGAAGTATATCAAGCTTGTAATGTCTCAATTGTAATCTTAAAAGAAGCATTTATTGTTCTGTGAAATCCTGAGAATAAACGCTCTACTACCTTGTGGATATGGTCAATATTGAATGATTTTTAATTGTTAAAATGAAAGGATAAACTTAAATTAGGATAAAATTAGTAGAATTTGTAAAGTCATTTTATTATTTTTATTTGTATTAATTATAAAATAAAAAAATTATTTCAACGAGGCCAAAAGAAAAGATTTCAAAAGTTTTAAGGGGATCATTGACAGATATATATAATTAAATAAAAATTTTCAAAAGTTTGAGGGGCTATCCACAATTTATATCCCGTCAAAGAGAACTAATATAATAAGTGACCAATTGCACTTAGATTAAAAAGATTGACAGCGATTCTCTATTCTTCAATGTATAGCAATCGAATTTTCAGATCTGAACATTATGACACGT